TGACCAGGATGGTCTCGATCTCTTGACCTCGTGATCCACCCGCCTCGGCCTCCCAAAGTGCTGGGATTACAGGCATGAGCCACTGCGCCCGGCCCTGTTTTAAAATTTTTGTAGAGATTGTGTCTTACAATGTTGCCCAGGCTGGTCTCAAACTCCTGGGCTCAAGTGATCTGCCCACCTCAGCCTCCCAAAGTGCTGGGATTACAGGTGGGAGCCATGGCACCTGGTCCCATACAGTATTTTCAAGGTTCATCCATGTTGTAGATGTACCAGTACCTTTTTTATTGCCAAATAATATTCCATCATATGGACATAGGTATGCCACATTTTCTTTATCCATTTGTCAGTCATGGACACCAGATTATTCCACTTTTTTGGCTATGAATAACTATAATGAACATTTGTCTCTGGGTTTTTGTGTGGACAAATGTCTTGAATTCCCTTGGGTGTATACTAGGAGGGGATTGCTAGGTTATACGGTTACTCTTTGTTTAATATTTGGAGGAGGCTAGGTGCAGTGGCTCAAGCCTATAATTTCAGCACTTTGGGAGGCAGGCAGGCGGATCACCTGAGGTTAGGAGTTCAAGATCAGCCTGGCCAATGTAGTGAAACCCTGTTTCTACTAAAAATACAAAAATTGGTGGTGAGTGCCTATAATCCCAGTTACTCAGGCAGCTGAGGTGGGAGAATCACTTGAACCTAGGAGGCAGAGGTTGCAGTGGGCTGAGATTGTGCCACTGCCCTCTAGCCTGGGTGATAGAGTGATACTCCATCTCAAAAAAACAAAAACAAAAATAAACAAAACCAAAAACACTCAGAGGAACTTCCAAACTGTTTTCCATAGTTACTAGGTAGGCTGGGTATGGTGGCTCATGCCTGTAAACTCAGCACTTTGGGTAAAGTGGCTCATGCCTGTAAACTCAGCACTTTGGCTGAGGCAGAAGGATCACTTGAGTCCAGGAGTACAAGACCAGTCTGGGCAACGTGGTGAGACACAATTTCTACAAAAAAAAAGATTTTTTAATTGCCTGGGTGTGGTGGCACGTGCCAGTAGTCCCAGCTACTTGGGAGGCTGAGGTGGGGGGCTGAGGCAGGAAGATCGCTTGAGTCCAGGAGTTGGGTGCTGGCATGAGCCCCGATTGCACCACACTCCACTCCACTCCAGCCTGGGTAACAGAGAAAGACCCTATATCAAATAAAAGAAAAGAAAAAACATAGTTGCTGCACCATTTTATAATCCCAATGTACAAGAGTTGAGTAATGTACAAAAGTTTCAGTTTCTCCACATCCTTGCCAACACAGGTCATTGTCTGCCTTTGATTTTAACTGTCTTCATAGAAGTGAAGTGCTGTCTCATTATGGTTTTGATTTACATTTCACTAATGACTAATCATTAATGATGTTGAGCATCTTTTTTCTCTTTTTTAATTTAATTTTATTTTTTCTTGCTTGCTTAGGTTTCAGACCCTGATGTTGAGCATCTTTTCATGGGCTTATTTACTATACACACACTAGCACATGCACATACAACCATATGTGTATATCTTTGGAGAAATGTGTGTTTAAATACTTTGCCCATTTTAAAATTGTGTTGTCTTTTTATTGTTGATTTTTTCTCCCCTCCCCCATTGTTGAATTTAAAGTTATTTATATATTCTAGATACAAGCCTCTTATCATATACATGATTTGCAAATATTTTCTTTCATTCTTTGGGGTTTCTTTTCACATTCTTGGCAGTGTCCTATGTAGCACAGAAGTTTTTAATTTTGATGAATTCCTATTTTTATTTTGTCACTTCTACATTTTCTGTCATATTTCACAAACCACTGCCTAATCCAAGGTCACAACTTTTTTTTTTCTGTTTTCTTCTAATTGTTTGATAGGTTTGTTTCTTACTTTTAGCTCTCTGATCCATTTTACTTCATTTTTTTATATGATGTAAGATGGGGGGAGTCCAGTGTCATACTTTTGGATGTCTAGCGGTCTCAGTACCATTTGTTGAAAAGACTTTTCCCTGTTGGACTGTTCTGGCAATAGCTGGTTATGTTTAACATGATTTTTGTTACTATCATAAAGTATATTTCTGAATCAAGCACGTAATCATTATATATAATTTTCTGCAAACTCAGCAATGAACATGATATGACATTAAGGGGCTGCCTTCATTCTCTTGCAAGTTCTCTAATGATGCACACTTTAGTGTGAAGATGAATGTGCTGTTACAGGAATCAGTGACATTCCAGGATGTGGCTGTGGATTTCACCCCAGAGGAGTGGCAGCTGCTTGATTGTGCTGAGAGAACCCTGTATTGGGATGTGATGTTGGAGAACTATAGAAACCTCATCTCAGTGGGTAAGGACGATGAGTGGTAACTTTTCAGTGTAACTCAAAATATATAAATGTGCCCTTCTTTTAAGACTTGTGAAAGCTGGCCAAGATCCCAGCACTTTGGGAAGCAGAAGAATTGCTTGAGCCCAGGATTTTAAGACCAGCCTGGGCAACATTGTGAGACCCTGTCTCAACAAAATTTAGCCAGGTGTGGTGGCACTGCCTATTATTTCAGCTACTTGGGAGGCTAAGGTGGAAGGATTGCTTGAGCCCAGGCATACCACTGCATTCCAGCCTGGGTGACAGAGTGAGACCCTATCTCAAAAAGAAAAAGAAAAAGAAAAGAAAACTTACAAAAGCTGTGAGCATTCTGAAGCATTAATCAGCTTGGCCCTAAATTTTAGTTGTCAAAGCTTCCAAATTGAGGTTCTGCTTATGCTTCTACTTCCCAAACAGAAGGGAAGGGTCTGTTCTGTTTCAAAGCCTGCTTGTCATCCTTTTAAAAACCCTGAGACTCAAGGAGGCAACCCGAGTTGTGAGCTGGTTGTTTGCCTAGCACCTTGGCCCCACTTCTATGTTGTTTTCCTACTAACAGGTTGTCCAGTTACCAAAACGAAAGTGACCCTCAAGGTAGAGCAAGGACAAGAGCCATGGATGGTGGAAGGAGTAAACCCACACCAGAGCTCTCCAGGTGAGTGAGAGAAACTCAGATGGGGATGTGTGGAGTTGAGATCCTAGTTGGTCAGTGAGGGACAGGCACCTCTGAAATACTCTTAGAAGCACCTCTTAAAAGCCACGAACCTTTGGCATAACATCATCAGCTTGTTCCCCAAAATCTACCTTCACCCTCACTGTCCCCACACATGCTCTTTCTCTTTGCTCAGCTGTTGTGTGGAAGGTTGTCCCTTTCCTGTCTCCTCTGGCTTCTCATGCTGCCTGTTTCATCTAGGTCCTTGCTTTGTTTCTGTTCTCTTAATTCCTAAAACCGTCATTCTTCTTCCTTTCTCAACATAGATCTTTTTCTATATGCTTAGTCCTTACAATGAAGTTAAATTATGTAAATTTGAAGTTTTACTCTACCAATCACTGTCTAACCTTAAGCAGATTATTTTGTAGCACAGTTTCCTTTGTTTATAAAATAGGAATATTAATCCTTACCTCAGATTTCCTATAAAGATTATATGAGGTAATATATGCAAAACACTTCAAATAGTTGACAGATAGTAAATATTCAGTATATGCTCATTGTTTTTTCAAAACTTTTAGGGACATCTTGCTCTATTTTGTTTTCCTTTTTTTTTTTTAACTTATTCCTTTTCTTGCATCATAAATCCCATCTTGCATGTTTAGTCTCCCTGATAATTTGGGATGTCTATCTTGTAGTGCATCTTTCTGTTTCACTTGCTAATATTGATAACTTTTTGAAATTCCCCTCCAGATTTTTGTGGCCTTACTAATCTGTCCTCACCCTTTCTTATGCTTATTCACCTTTTGCTCAGGTCTTCTCTCCCATCTTCTTAACTTCTCTCTACAGTAACTCCTTCAGAAGGCTCATCACTCTGAAGACTAAAGTTACTTGTTTTATGCCAACTCTAGCATCTTTGCCTCACCAACTTTTCATTCCCCTAATTTTACCTGACCTAGCCTTCATGGTAACTAATGTTTTTAATTATTCAATTGACACCCTTATCTTTACATCACGATAAATAATCTTGAATGGGTTCCTGCTTTGCAGTCTTAAAATCACTACAGTAAGCAATTTGATTTTTTTCCTCTCAATAGTTTTATTTATTTAGTTTAATTTTATTTCCTCTCAAAATAAAATTAAATTTTCCCTTTCTGCAGAGTTAATAAAAGAACTCATTCAAATGATTGACATATCTTTCAAATGATTGACACCAATTAAATATATTTCATATTCCCTGGATCCCAACTTCTGTTGACACAGACAAAATGAATTTTTTTAAGAGACAGGGTCTTACTCCATCACCCAGGCTGGAGTGCAGTGATGCCATCTTAGCTCACTGCATCCTTGAACTCCTTGCCTCAAGCAATTCTCCTGCCTCAGTCTCCCAAGCAGCTGGGACCACAGGCAGATGCCACAGTCCTCGGCTGACTTTTAATTACTCATACTGCATCTAGACTGTTTATGTTACTATTTTACCAATTCCATTCTATTTTCTAATTTATATTAGATGTTTCTCCAAGATTTATCCAAATTATTCTGTTTCTCTTGTCACTGTCCTGAAAAATGTCCCTTTAGAACCTGTGTTGTGATATTTAAACGGCTTTTAATGTCCTCTATAAAGTAGCCCCATTTTACTTAGCCGGAATTACCCATCTTTTTCCTATTCCATGGAAATTGGGCTTTTTAATATCCGCTATATACAGTTTTCTTCTCTGCATCAATCCTTTTGATTCTGGTCTGCTCCACCTAACTAAAACCAGCATTTTACTAAATCTGAGTTCAGCTTTCCTTTCTCATTATAACTCCAGTCTAATCTTTACCTTCTTTGAACTCCCAAGCCAACTCTACTATGACTCTGTCATAAAAAATTGATGTATACTATCTTGGATATATTTTTCTAATCCTTATGGCTTTTAAGGCATGTTTTGTAAATGATAGTTCCTGAAGAGAATGATCTGGTTTGTTTTTGTTTTGTTTTTTCTGAGATGGAGTCTCGCACTGTCGCCCAGGCTGGAGTGCAGCGGCTCAGTCTCGGCTCACTGCAACCTCCGCCTCCCAGGTTCAAGCGATTCTTCTGCCTCAGCCTCCTGAGTAGCTGGGACTATGGGTGCCTGCCACCACACCAGGCTAATTTTTGTATTTTTAGTAGAGACAGGGTTTCACCATGTTGGCCAGGCTGGTCTCCAAACTCCTGACCTCAGGTGATCTGCCCGCCTCAACCTCCCAAAGTGCTGGGATTACAGGCATGAGCCACCGCACCTGGCTGAGAATGATCTGTTTTATGCTGAGCACATAATGGTATTCAATGAACATTTCATTAATTTATTGTTATAGAGCCAGACATTATGGAGGATGTTTCTTTTCTTATTTTTCTTTTTTTTTTTTCTTTTTTCAGTTAAAGATGAGGTTTCACTATGATGGCCAGGCTGGTCTTGACCTCCCGGGATCAGGCGATTATCCTGCCTCAACCTCCCAAGTAATTGGGATTACAGTTGCACTCCACCATACCCAACTAATTTTGTAGTTTTTTTTTTTTTTTTTTCTTTTTTCAGTATCCCTGCCATAGCAATGTGGGGGATGTTTTTTATTCTTCCATTCAACAAGGCTTTTAAATATGTTTCCTGAAAAGGTTCAAAGAAAGCAAAAATCTCATTATCATTTTCTAAGTGGATGAATGGTAGTTGGAACAGCAAAACGTGTTTATATTAAAATATTTTCCCTGGTGGTCTAGTGGTTAGGAAAACAATATATAAACAAAAAATAAAGTATTTTAAAATTCAACAAGTGAGTATGAAACATTTCTTTTTTTTTTTTTTTTNAATTTTTTGTAGTTTTAGTAGAGACGTGGTTTCACCATGTTGACCAGGATGGTCTCGATCTCTTGACCTCGTGATCCACCCGCCTTGGCCTCCCAAAGTGCTGGGATTACAGGCTTGATCCACCGCGCCCGGCCCAAAACATTTCTTCAATGTACATTAACGTTGCAGTTGTGTTCTAATTAAGTGTGAAAATGAATGGTAGACAGCAGCAGTGACTATCTTTGAAATTAATAGAAAATGGAGCTTAAAGTTTAAAGTATACAAAATCTGAAGAAGTCTTTTTTTGAGATCATGGAACAGTGGTTCCTCCCTAAAGAATATCTGAGTTCTAAATAAAATGAAAGGAGGTAAGGGAGGGCAAATTAAGGTAGAGAACGAATATGAGCAAAAGATTGAAGTTAGGAGTCTAGAGTCCATGGAGTAGAAGGTATTTGCTGAGGACTAGTGGAACCCATGCTTCCCATGAGTGAATTCATGTCTTGCATAATTCTATTTCCAGGCTGATTATGTTGAATTTTTCAGTGGATTGTTGTTGGTAGAGGTAACGCAGGATGCTGCTTACCATTAGTTGAAATAAGAGTGGTAAGAAGAAAGGAACCAAATCCCTAGAGTCAGAAACACTCTATAAAGCAATGTGTACTAATGACTGTAGCCCACTACTCAGTCTAGCTCTGCAGAGAATAAGGCATAGAGGAGGAGGCTCAGAGCATTGTACTAACACTCCTCATGGAGGGAAACTTAACAGTGGGGAATTATGACCCTCTCTCCCCAATTTTTTAAAAAATGGGAACAGATTTGGGATTTATAGTGTTTTGGGGATAGTGAAAAAATATGAATTCAGGAGCAAAGCAGCTTTCTGAAGACCAGTTTGTTAGATTGAAAGAGGATGTAAAAATAGTATTTGCCAAATAGAAGTATAATAGATAGTTGTCATATACAGAAACTCAGCCAGAATAAAAAATAGCAAATAGACAGAATCTATTTGCTATTATTATCCCAAGCTAAGGATGACTTACCCTTGGATAACTTGCTGGACATTTGTGTCCCTGGGCTTACAAGTATAGGTACAAATGAATTCTAGCTCTCAGTAGAGCTGGAGCTATGACTACAGACATTCTTCAGCTGTGGTTTAGTTGGGGTTAGAGGACTGGAGATATGAGAATGTTTAGAAAGGAAACTGATATTGTGCAGAGTGATTTAGAGGAAAAGACATAAGTAAGAGAAATGGGGAATTATCCTACCAAGGTGATCTAGAAATTAATTATGTAGTGATTTATATAACTGCCTGTTACCACCTCCTCCAAACCTAGTCTGTACTCTGATATTTTCCCTTAACCCCTTTATCTCCTGTTTTCCTAGTTGTCCTATCCATTAATCAGATCTCCACAATGGGCCCTCTTCATTTTATGAGCTAACCCTACACCCTTGTTGAGCACCCTTTTGACTTCTTTGTACCCTCACTCTACCTTGCACCTATTTTACTGTCTTTCCTCAGGTCACAAGCTAAAGCATCTGCTCCCATTCACTCTTCAGCAGTTTTATTCTTAAAGCTCAGGAAGAGTGAGGCAAATATAAGATTTGTTTCAGAATGAGATACTAGCTTTGAAACTATAGACGGTTTTCTCTATAACATGTTGGTGGGAAAAAGTAACTAGGAATGTTTTGTTGTACTCCTTTTTAGAATCTGACTGCCCTCTTGTTGATGAACCAGGGAAGCATTGGGAAAGCAAAGACAATTTTTTGAAGTCAGTTTTGCTCACGTTCAATAAACTTTTGACTATGGAGAGAATCCACCATTATAATATGAGCACAAGTTTTAATCCAATGGAAAAAAAATTATATAAATCATCTGAGAAGCATTTGCCACCTAATTTAGACTTACTTAATTATAATAGAAGTTATACTGGAGAAAACACTTATGAATGCAGGGAATGCGGGAAAGCTTTCAAAAAGAAGTTTCATTTCATTAGACATGAAAAAAATCATACAAGGAAAAAACCTTTTGAATGCAATGACTGTGGGAAAGCCTACAGCAGGAAGGCACACCTTGCAACTCATCAGAAAATTCATAATGGAGAGAGACCCTTTGTGTGCAATGATTGTGGGAAAGCGTTTACACATAAAGCCCAACTCGTGGTCCACCACAGACTTCACACTGGAGAGAAACCTTATGAGTGCAGTCAATGTGGGAAAACATTCACCTGGAACTCCTCATTTAATCAACATGTGAAATCTCACACACTTGAGAACTCATTTGAATGTAAGGAATGTGGGAAAACCTTCAGGTATAGTTCATCCCTTTACAAACATTCCAGATTTCATACCGGAGAGAAACCCTACCAATGTATCATATGTGGCAAAGCCTTTGGCAACACATCTGTGCTTGTTACACATCAAAGAATTCATACAGGAGAGAAACCTTATGGATGTATTGAATGTGGCAAAGCCTTCATCAAGAAGTCTCATCTCCTTAGACATCAGATAACTCATACAGGGGAGAAGCCCTATGAATGTAACAGATGTGGGAAAGCATTTTCTCAGAAGTCAAATCTTATCGTACATCAGAAAATTCATACATAATATTCATTTTATGAACATGAGAAGGCCTTATGAAATATTTGCTAAATCTTATTAAATACTAAAGAATTCATGGTAAGGAGACATCTACAATTTAAATGAATTTGTAAGAGTAGATTCCCTTAAAAAACAATGCCAATCATGTTCTGGAAGTGATAATAAACTTTTTACAGAAAATATTACAGAAAACAACTATAAATAATAGAGCTTAAAGCTTGGAAAGTAAGCATAACTTAAATAATCTAAGAACCAGTGAAAACTACATTTACCATTCCTGACTTTTACTTTTTATAATAAAATAATTCTGCAAGTGAGTATAAAATACATGCTTATACGTTATATTAAATTATGCCTATTAAGAGTTTCTGCAGTAAATAACACATTTTTCCTTCCAGTGTTAACATGCATAATTAATCAAGAAAATGTGGTTTAATATGTAGTATGAATTTCAGTAATATTTTCATCCATTTGCTGGCACTCTTAATGGGCATGACAATGTTACTGAATCTGAGTCTCCTTTAATTGCACAACTGAAGACTTCTTATTAAAATTCATAAAGATATGTTCCTGTGTATGTAAATACCAGAACAAAAACTTTAACAAGACACTAATCGAGGAGAGAAAGGCACTCGTATTCTGTATTACAATAAGTATTCAGTTGAGGAAAAGAATTATTTAAATATGTAAATAAATAATTTGCACTTCAAATATTTCTGTTCTTTTTCATTGATATATCTATGTAAGCTGTAAGCATAGCTTAAGTGGTATTTAACTGGAGTATCATCTGTATTTGATTTTAATAAAGTAGAGTGTCATGATACTTTGCAACTTTTGGGGAGACAGTTTTGGGGATTTTGTTGTTTTATTGAGACAAGGTCTCATTCTGTCCCTGAGGCTTCATTGCTGTGGCACAATCATAGCTAACTGTAACCTTGAACTCCTGGGTTTAAGCATTCCTCCTGCCTCAGCCTCTTAAGTAACTAAGTCTACAGGTGCAAGCCACCACACCTGACTAATTTTTTATTTTTTTTTTTAGCAATGGCATCTCACTATGTTGCCCAGGTTGGTCTTGAACTCCTGGACTCAAGCGATCCTCCTGGTTCTCATTCTCCCCTTCAGCCTTCCAAAGTGCTGGCATTACAGGAATTTTTTTTTTTTTAAAGAAGTCAATACGTGTTTAGCTCCGAAGATACCTGGAATTTTCCATATGAACAGCATAGGCATCATTAATTAAGATGAAAACTTGTTAGAAAAGAGCAAGTTTTTCTGCTTAGCAACTTTGGAATGTGACATTTTATAAGTTCTACATATTCCTTTCAAAGGATTAATTAGCCATTATTTAAAGTTTTCATGCTATTCACAATATCCCTTGGTAATGCCAAAAAACTTTTATGTATTTTCTTGAGTGGTGACAAAACTTAGTCTTGAACCTAAATTCAGAAATCAAGCCTTCTAAGTTTAAGCTCAGTTAAAATTATGTTCCATTGTTTTTCCTTCATTAGCCATTTTTTGAAAGAGTAGTGTTGGATAATAACTATAAATGAATGATGGTGCTTTTTTGTATAAGCATACTGGGACTTTAAAGACCTAAATTAAATCTTGTCTTTCTAAGTTATTTTAGGAGGCTATATGCTAATTTCACTTATGAGGTCATTCCAAAATTTCTGGAACCTTCTTTTCATGGAGTTGTCTTCAAAATCAGTATGCCAGCCACAGAGGAACATCTTGGTATTTATAGTCACAGGACATGCCTTTTTCAGCTCTGGAGTTTTCTTATCATTTCCTTCATGAAGTCCTCACTTCATCCTTGTAGTGCTTACCATTTCCATTGTATCTCTCCTTCCCCTGGCTGTAACCCTCATCTGAGAAACTTTCCAAACTACACAAATAAAGAAAGAGAGATGGGGGCACGGATCTCCACTGTTGCTGCATGGTATGAGATGCCCCTGAAAGAGCAGCTGTGTAGGTCAAGGTGACAAGAAGTGTGCAATAGTCTGCTCCAGCTCGCTGGAAATAAAATGTAGCCAGGACATTTAAATTGTAATATATCAGGATAATATGTATCTGGTTTCCTAATTTTGTTTGCTCCCTTTCTGGGGTGGAAAAAGATGTAGAATGAAAATATTTCAAGTACTGTATAAATATAGTCTCCCACCTAGAGACTTCCTGTCAGTGACCATTCTTAGACTGTGCAAGATTTTGGCAAAAAGAAGAAACAGTATGCCCAGTTCCATCCAGACATCTTGGATTCCCAAAACTCTCTAGCCCAGTGGTCTCCAACCTTTTTGGCATTCCATCATTAGGCATTAGTTAGATTATCATAAGGAGCACGCAACCTAGATCCCTCACATGTGCCTTTCACAATAGGGTTCAAGCTCCTATGAGAATCTGATGCTGCTGCTGCTCTGACAGGAGGCAGAGCTCAGGCAGTAATGCTCAACTTGCCCTTGGCTCCCTCCTGCTATGCCGCCCAGTTCCTAAAAGGTCACAGACCCATATGGGTCCGTGGTCTGAGGTGGGGGGTGGGTAGAGGGATGGTTGGGAACTCCTGCCCTAGCCTATTTGTACACTGTAGCTGAAAGAGCCATGCATTGAGAAATCCCTTGATTTTTCCCATCTCTAAGAGTATGTTATACCTTGAGATTTTTTTTTACCCTGTGAAAGGTCATTCAAAAATGCCTACTATCGTTGTCTGGAGTCACAGAGTGAAAAAAAAAAAAAAAACCACCTTTCTTTTTTTTTTTTTTTTAAATTTTAAAATAATATTTACCAAAAAAAAAAAAAAAAAAGCCATCCCTCAAGCTAGAGACAAGCATGTTACATTCTTTTATAACAGAAGTTAAAATGGAAGTTTCAGTCAATATTCTAAGATAAGAGATGACAGATGCCAAACTAACATCACATGCCATTCTGTAGGAGCTTTCTGATTCCCTTTCCCTCCACTTCCTCTCTCAATACTGGCTCCAACACCCTAGGGGTCAGAACTAGTAATCAGTAATCCACTGATGAAGAAAGAGGGAAGCTGCCAGCCACATTCCTTTCTCCAGCTGTAGACTTCAAGCCTATAGTAGGACCCAGGTGGCAAGGGCAAGCATGGCCAAGATTCAAACCATAGTGGTTCCTGGAACTACATTACAGAGTTTATACTGACATGAAATTCATGTTTTTGTTACTGGAAGGGGTCCCTATCAGACCCCAAGAGAGGGTTCTTGAATCTCGCACAAGAAAGAATTTGAGGTGAGTCCATAAAGTGAAAACAAGTGTACTAAGAAAGTAAAGGAATAAAGAATGGCTACCGTAGGTAGAACAATGGCTGGAGCTGCTCAACGAAGGATGCTTTTTGTTACTTCTTGATTACATGCTAAACAAGGGGTGGATTATTCATGAGTTTTCTGGGAAAGGAGTGGGCAATTTCTAGAACTGAGGGTTCCTCCCCTTTTTAGACCATACAGGGTAACTTCAAAATGTTGCTTTGGCATCTGTAAACTGTCATGGTGCTGGTGGGAGTGTCTTTTAGCATGCTAATGCATTGTAATTAGTGTATAATGAGCCGTGAGGGTGACCAGAGGTCACTCTCATCACCACCTTGGTTTGGGTGGGTTTTAGCCGGCTTCTTTACTGCAACCTGTTTTATCAGCAGGTCTTCATCACCTGTATCTTGTGCTGACCTGCTATCTTAACCTGTGACTTAGAATGCCTAACCTCCTGGGAATGCAGCCCAGCAAGTCTCCGCCTTATTTTACCCAGCCCCTACTCAAGATGAAGCTGCTCTGGTTTAAATGCCCCTGATATCTTTACAGATTGCACAGTTTAAACTCTTAGGCAGAAAATCAGGCTTATACCATATTATGTGAGTTAACTACACGGAAAAAGTTTTTAAATTTTTCTTTAAGCAATTTCCTAGCAATTTGTTGTATCTCGGTATAAATGGACTTTCAATTTCTTAAGAAGTAAAAGTTCTTAGGAACCTCTTTTGTAGCTACAACATTACTGGAATTCTTTAGGGCTCTTTTTCCTTGTCACTAATTAAAATATCTTTAGACAATTTCTTCAATTATCTATACCATGATGGTTCCCAAACGCATGCTTTTAGTCTAGACATCTCCTCTAGGCTCCAGATTCGTAATCAGATTCATAACACCTTCAGGGGCACACAGTCTGTCCAGTCACACAGGGTGCTGTGCTTGGAAGTGCCAACCTTTGGTTTAATGCTCTGCTGTAGCCATGTTGAAATTATTAATAATAGTTGAACAAGAGACCCCTCAGTTTCATTTTGCCATGGGCCCTGAAAATTTTGTAATTTGTCCTGCTTATAGCCTTCATTTCAGCTCCACAAGGAAAACTTAAATGCATATTAAACTCAACATCTCTGAAACTGAAACAATGATCTTCCCCTCAAACCTGAGCAAGGTTCCCTGGTGCAATGACAGCGGCACCGCCCATCTCGTTCCAGCTCCCAGAAGCCTGGGGGCCACCCTTGATCCCTTCTTCTACTGTACTTCCCATGTTGTACGGTCTTGTTGGCTTTCTTCCTAAGTCACTTTGTTTTTTCAACTTTTATTTTAGATTCAAGGAGTACGGGTGCAGATGTGTTAGATGGGAATATTGTGTGATGCTGAGGTTTAGGGTATGAATGATCCCATCACCCAGGTATTGAGCATAGTACCCAATAGTTAGTTTTTCAACCCTTATCCTCCTCCCTCCACCCTCTGGTAATCCCCAGCTTCTATTGTTGCCACCTTTATATCCATGAGTAGCTGATGTTTAGCTCCCACTTATAAGTGAGAATATGCAGTATTTGGTTTTCTGTTTCTGTGTGAATTCTCTTAGGATAAAGGTCTCCAACTGCTCCCGTGTTGCTGAAAAGGACACGACTAAATGTCTGTTCCATCTTTCTCCCTCTCTCCATCTTCACTACCTCACGGTCATCCAAGTGGCCATTCTTTCTTAGCTAGACTATTACAAAAGCTTCATAACTAATTTGACTTTATCCACCTCGATCCTTCTTAATCCATTATCCCCATGGTATCAAGAATGACTTTTAAATACAGATCTGATCATGTCACACATACACACTATCAAACACACACACAGCTGCTTAAAACCTTAATGCTTTCACATATTTCCTAGGTTACATTCTATCATCTTAGCATAATCTAAAAACGCTGTGTTCCTGTCCCTTGCTACTAGTATTTTTTAGTATGTTTACTTGTAAGGCTAGTTCAACAAACACATCAATAAATGTGGTACATCACATTAACAAAATAAAGGACAAAAACATATGATCATTTCAATAGATACAAAAAAGCTTTAGATAAAATTCAACATTGTTTCATGGTTTTAAGAAAAAAACTCTCAACAAATTAGGTATATAAGGAATGTGCCTCACCACACTAAAGGCCATATATCACAAATGCACGGTTAACATCACAGTCAATAGAGAAAAAGTGAAAGCTTTTCCCTTAATATCCACAACAAGGCAAACGTGTCTATTCTTGCCATTTCTATTCAACATATTGCTGGAAGTCCTACTTATACCAGTTAGATAAGTGAAAGAAATAAAAGGCATCCAAATTGTAAATGAAGAAATTAAATTGTCCCTGTTTACAGATGTGATATTATATGTAGCAAATTCTAGAGACTCCACCATAAAACCGTTACAGCTAATAAACAAATTCAGTAAAGTTGTAGAATACAACATCAACATACG